CCGAGGAGGTGATCCCCCCCCTCTATGCGGCACTGGTCAGGCTGCAGCTGAAGTACTGCATCCAGTTCTGGGCGCCGCACTTCAGGAGGGATGTGGACAACATGGAGAGGGTCCAGAGGAAGCCACCCGCACGATCAGGGGGCAGCAGGGCAGGCCCTACGAGGAGAGGCTACGGGACCTGAACCTGTTCACCCTCCACAAGAGAAGGCTGAGGGGGGATCTAGTGGCCTGTTACAAACTAGTCAGGGGGGACCAGCAGGCACTGGGGGAGTTGCTGTTCCCCCGAGCACCGCCAGGAGTGACTAGAAATAACGGTCAAAGCTGGCAGAGGGCAGATTCAGACTAGACATCAGGAGGTGCTACTTCACTGTCAGGGCAGCTAGGATCTGGAACCAACTTCCAAGCGAAGTGGTGCTGGCTCCTACCCTGGGGGTGTTTAAGAGGAGGCTAGATGTACACCTTGCTGGGATCATTTGACCCCAGTACTCTTTCCTGCCATGGCAGGGGGCAGACTAGTCAGTAGTCAGACCTGCTAAGAATTCAATCTATTCCAGCAACTATGTCCTGGGATACACCATGATGCAAACTGGAATTTGGTTGTACTGGGGCCCCATGACCTCTTGCAAAACAGTGTAATGGAGTTTTTCATAACCACAAGTGGTTAGGGAATCAGTTATATGCTTTATCCACAAAAAAGTAACTCCAACAGCACAAGGCTAGGCTTGAACAGAGACAAGTGTTATAAATACTACATGCTGTTACACTTATACATTCCTTAGGATTTTATCCATTGGCAAGGCCCAATTTTTCTTGGTCTGCAAAGATTGTACACCAAGATGGTAAGATTGCAAATTAAATGTCAGCTTCAACAAAAGTTCTACACCCTGCATAACGAAGAACCCCTACATCCAATTTAATTAATTTACAAGGCACTTTTAGGGCCTTTTTCTCTTTCTTTCTTTTTTAATTATTCCTTACATTGCCAATGCGACAGAAATCACTGAAGTGTGAAAATTCATTACAGTAATTCTGGGATCCCACATACCAAATTTAAAACATGTCCCACAACAGTGGATTACTGCCAGCACTATTTCCTTGATGCTGACGCAAATTCTCCAAAGATAAGCATCGTGCATCCAAAACTTAACTGGCTGGTGGCCAAAGATAAGCATGTCTGACCCTGAAGGTCATAGCAATGCAGTGGCTGCTAAATAGTTTCAGGGATTGCTGAAGGTTAAACCTGGCACTGAAGACTTCAATCAGGCAAGGTAGCCAGCAACTCATTGATCTGAATACAACTATATATGAAGCTATTATCTAAATCAACAGGGATAGGAAGGTAACACCAGTAACTTACATTCTGTATCTTGAACCCAGCTTTCTTGACAAGCTGGTTACAGAAAGAGAGGTAAACAGTGGGACAAAACAGGCTATGGACCACATGGATGGAGAGGGGAGACTCAAAGCAAAAACCTGAAGCAAACTGCAGGGTTCTGGAGCTGCACATAAATAAGCTGGTTGGGCATTTTAAAGCCTGGAAACACACAGGCTCAACACCAAAATATAGGCATTAGAAAATGTAGTCGATTTACCCAATTTATTCAGGAGTAAGTTTTTGCCACTGTTAGTACAGACTAACCATTTTAGAATCATATGTTCACAGATTCTTTAAAAAAATAATAAAAAATCAGGACAACCTAACTTGCCATAGGTTGTCCTCATTCAGAAAATAATCATTTGGATTGTCCAAGTCTGAAAAACATCACTACATAGCATCGCTGCCTGCTAACCAGATGGCAAAATGAAATGATACAGGGTAAAGCTCAGCAGTGCAGGTAACAAGTAAAGGAACAGAGCCTACAGCCAAGGACTGAGGTGCCGGGGCCAAAGTCCACAGGACCTATGTGAAGTTAGAAAAGCGCGACAGAGAATCTCCACTGCTCTTTGATCATTAGGGCTGCTAGTACTAACAATCACACTTTTTTTTATGCTCCCAACCAATTAATGCAGCCTCAGGTCTAGATCTCTGGTTTAAAAAAAATCCTAACCGTCTGCGGCACTGAAAATATTTGGAGCGCATTTGAAGCTGTGGAACTTCTTACGCCTCTGAATGGACAGTCTAAAAGCTGGCAACTTTGGAGACCCGTGTTCTTGATTAGCGTACTGAGAGTTTCTTTCCGCAGGTGGGTGGAGGGGCATGAGTTAGTTGAGCTGTTACATTAGAGACCATCTGATTTTCATTTTTGCTTTGCAGTACAGTAAAAAAAAAAGCTAAGAACTAAGTATCCACCAGTATCAAGTTAAAAACATGAAGCAAAGGCTCTGCAAGGCACATGTAATACTTCGATAGTCACAGTTTGGCAGACTCTTGAAGGTTAGGTGGGAAGTGTTCTTCCTCTTTTCCCTTTCTCCACTTGAACATCTTAAATCACCCACATGACTGACCATCTGCTTATCTGCTGAATCATTAGAAGCATCACTCTCATAAACATAATACATTTCCTTCGTCCAGGAAGGTGTCCAAGCATTTTCTTTAGGAGCTACACACATCTTGGCATACTTGTTTGCAGCAGACCCTGTTGCTACATCGCCTGTTAAATCTCAGAGGGCACTCAGTTCTGAATCTGGTTTTTGATCCCAAGTATAAGAAAGGAACAGGTGGTGTCAAAACTGCAATTTTGTAAGTTCTTTCACAGGAATACTAAGGAAGCCTGACTCATTCTCTGGTACTTCAGCTTTTTTCCATGAGGGTACTAAAAGCAAGTTTTGTTCTTGCAGATAAAAGCAAGATCCTCTTTCTAGATCTAATTCCAAGAAACACTTTCTATATATTATTTTATAAATGTCCATAGGAGTTCAGGGATGCCAACTGCATTTTTTATTTTCAGAAAGTTTTGCTAGCAACCAAAAGATATTCAGTGATGCTGACCCAAGGAGTAATGTATGCTCTTAACAGACTTGTGAGTCATTGAAAAGCCACCTGCTGCAGAAGAAAAAACAAAGTATCTTGGTCAAATACAGAAGTGCATTTACAATTCTGCATATTTCAGTGAGGCTTGGCCACAGGTCAAAGAGCCAGAAACAGCCCCCACCAAAAGAAATGGATGAACAGAACTGGAAAGAACCTTTGGAGCAGGCCATCTGCCTCCTAATTAGGATACACCCAGGCTTCTCAAGCAACAACTACTCATTATAATAAATGTTCTGATCTATATTAGAGATAGAGGGAAAAACAGTTGATAAGCAGGATAGAAGCAAATGCAAGTATCCGGGGAAAAACAACTAGCGCATTTTCATACTGTTTTATACAAAGATTTATAATACCCTCTAGCAAAAATGGAGATGTCACATTAGTTGCTTGGAAAAAAAACCCCAAAACAAGTGACATTTTACTTTAAACTCAGTGCACTCGCATGCCGAGCCCAGCACACGCCCAGAAGGGCAGCACATTAGTTGGACCCAGCTCACTCAATGTCTATATTGAATCAGCTATTAGATAAATGCTCCAAAAATCCTCACTGAAGCACCCAATCTATACAGATGCTGTGGAGCTGGGTCGAAATAACATGTAGCTTCTTCTAGTAAAGCTCAGGGATTTTTTTTATTTATTTTTTTATTATTAATGTCTGCAAGTAGTCATTATGTAAAACATCTCTCCCACCGGTATCTATTTTGCAGTTGGAAGTACCAGTAAGGTTGCCAGTTAGCACTAGCTGAGGAAGTGGTTTGGCAATGTGGACTGTATACACTGAATGGGTCAAATCTAATTTTCCTTCTTCAGCAAGTCATATACTCTTCAGCAGAACTGACAGAACTAACACACAATCATTTTCCTCACATTTTCCTTGTGCATTTTTCATTCTCCATAACACAGTGGCAGATTATTGCCTAAAAATATTGCCCATTTTTGATGTATGAACCAAGTCTCATTGACGCATACCTTCATTATGAAGCTTTAATCCCATCATTTAAGCATTTCACCAGTGGTTGAAATTTTTAATCAATATCCTTAGATATTAGTAAGAAACCCTTTAGCTCAGTGGTAGGCGACCCCCTGGCACATGTACCAGTCTGGCACATGAAAGTATTTTACTCGGCACTTGTGTCCTGGGGAAGGGGTGCACGGTCACTACGAGGGTCATGCTCCTCGCAGCTCCCCCATCATCCACCCTTGGCACGCCAACATCTTACAAGTTGAGGTTGCGGATGTTTTTGGCACTCTGCCCAGAAACGTTGCCAACCCCTACTTTAGCTGCAAATTTCATCTTATGCTAATTTCTCTCTCTCACATTTATCATAATTTGTAAGATTCAAAATTTCCTGGAAAACATTTAGGCCAAATGGCAAAGGATATCACTTCAATACTACATCTTTAACAGAGCTGCATGACCTTACTTCCAAATATTTTTCTACTTGCATAATGAAATACTTAGTACTTACATTTACTGCTGTGTTCCATCAACTACTGATTTACGGTTTGATCTAACAAAGCTATCCATCAAGCCACTTGCAATTCACCGTGCCTATCTAGACCTGTGGTCTTAAATCATTCCCGCCTTTAAAAAACCCCAAAACAAAACAAAAAAATAGACAAGCCCTGAGATCAGAGAGTAGTGAAAATGTTCACGTAGACATAACATTTTTTCAAAGCTGCTACTCAGTCCTACAGAGGCTCACTGGTGAATGGGACTGATAAACACCTAAAAAAAAAAAAAAGACAGGTGGTCTAAACTTTGGAGTGCTTATCACTCCCATTCACCTCAAGAGGCTTCAAGTGCTTAACCACATTTGGGTACTGAGGACTGGGAAAGTGGGAGGGGGAGTTTAGTTTTTTCTGCTTAGGTGTCTAAACATGCAGAGACCAAATTTAAGATGCCCTGGTTTGAATACTTCTAATAGGCTCCAGCTTTCCTTGCCTTCAGGTACACACAGCTTGCATTCTGATTACAAGATACTCTACTATTCATACTGCCATTTGAAGCAAACAGACACACAGACCGTTTACTTATGTACTTAAAGTTTATTTCTTCATAATTACAGGCTATTGTTAGAATTTTTAAACAAAAGGGAAGTCTATAAATAGAGGCTAACCCCACCTGAATAAGTTTTTAAAAAACAGTTAAAACTCCGTAAGTAATGCCATTTAGCTCACAGCAGTGGTTTATTGGTATAGTCATTGGGTAAAGATACTGTAGTCAGAGTCAGTAACATGAAATGTAACATCAAATGACTCAAAACTTTGAATTCCATACAGGAAAGCATGAATATATATAATATATACACATAATATTGTATTGGTCCACTGAGTATATGTTTTTAACAAAAAATAAGAACTATGTAGTCCAGTTAAGCATCCAATATGCAAGATTAGTGTACACTTATTACAAAGGTTGTATAGATAAATTATAGCTATTTAATACTTGCAAAAGATGTTTTAAGTTACTTTTTTGAGCAGGTGTCGGAAACGCTAGTTTCCCAGTGCAAAAGAAAATGTTGTCCAAGTCAAGTCACCCATTTTCCTGAAAGATCAAAAACTACCCTCTTTAAAGAGTCTTGCAGCAACATTGCCAGGTAAGTGGAATAGTTAAACTAGTGGTGGCTATGAGGCATCCCTTGCTCCACATAAGTTTCTGTAGAAGAACAATTCTATTTCCAACAGGAAATCCAAGTGAAAAGTGCAAGAGAGAAAACAGAGTTTATGCTGCTGCAGTCCAATTTTATGTATATACTGGGCAAAAGCACCACTGTTTAGAGTGAATTAAAAGAACCCGATTACTGTAGAATGGAGTACAATTAACAATAGGCAATAAGTTACTTTTATTAACACTCTTTTAATCCTACTTTGACTCAGTGGCCATAAAGAATTATAAATCAGTCTTTTTAAGGTGCAACTATCAGTTGGCATTCAATAAATTACATGTACAGAAAAAGACTTGTAAAAAATTAAACTACGCCATTATGCATCCTACTCTATCAAATCTCATATTCCACTTGTCAACTTGCCGGTTTAGTTGCATATTTCACAGAATTTGGCTCAATTAGCAATGGGTCTTCATAATTTGTCAGTCATCTTGGCCAAGAGCAATTTAACACAAATGATCTATTTAGTTCTCTAGTACTACGGAACAACACAACTGATCCAACTGCCTTCAAATCTCAGAGACATGCAAGAAAGCAAGTAAATGTTTCAGTAGAATACAGTTTTCCCCACTTGCACTCTAAAAAGATTATCAATTAAATTTCAAGTCCAGCAGTAGAACTTTCATTGAAGAAGAGAAGAGACATATGTATAGATAAAAAATAAAGCACTCTGTTCCAGCATTACTATAATCTCTTCTGAAAAAGTACAAAAGGTTTCAAGCAACTGATAAGAACAGCCTGATGAGAAGCCATAAGCAAGAGCAATTGCCATACTCACCATCTGCTCAACTGCCAACTTCTGCCAGTTTATACTCCAGCTGTAGTCTCACTGACTGCGTTGTAAACAGATTTGTTTTCAGGTACGAATTTTATTTTGCTTTCCTTAAACTTGGGAGTGTGTGAACGCAAAAACAATCCATTATCCAAATGTAAAAATAACCAAAAAGTGAGATGTACCAGTAATGTCCATATAAAAATAAGTATTGAAACTCTAGCTACACTCTTTGTGAAACAGCAGAAAAGAGTATTTTAGCTTTAGCCTGGGTTACCATCTCTTTAAATAAACCAGCCCTTCCACCTGGAAAGAAAAGCCATCACGTGCACTAAGAATATGGAAGTTTGGGCATATACTTTTATGTCCTGTTCTGTGCCACTCTCACCAACTTGCTTTCTAAAGGAACTTGATTGGGACAATATTTTCTTGTCTCTGAACTTCTGAATTTGAAGAATCACAAATGTTCATGAAGATATCTTCATACAAGACAAGAATGACAACGATTTTAAAGATGACATGCAGTGTTCTCTCCCTCTGTATTTACAGAAGGAGACTTTATTGTCCTGGGTATACACCAAAAAAATAGCACAGGCAAAAATCTTGAAAGCATCCACAGTGGAGCAGTGCTCTTCTATAAAGTTGGCTGATAATGTTAATCAAATTCAGGAAAAATTATAAAATCAGAATGGGATAAAAAAAAGATAAATAATTGATCACATTTGCAGGAATTTAAAACCTTTCATACTTTCCAAACCATAGGTAGCTTCTGATTAACATTTTAAATAGATTAAATACTCAGGAAATGGGAGAAATGGGACAAAACAGTTGACATAAGACACACTGTCATTCTAACTTCATGCTTCTGAAATTTCAGATTTACTGAGTGCAATCGCCAGTTCCAAATCTTCTTGCTCTTGCTGTTTTAATCTTGCAAGTCTCTCTTTCTCTTCTCTCTCACTTTCTCTCTTAGCCCATTCAATCATGTCTTCTTCAGTAGGATACTGCAGTTTCAAGAGAGAAAATACCTGGATTTATTAATGAAAAAGTAACCACCCTGTTCAAATCTCACACTAGGTTTTGAAGTCACTTAAACTGTTCCAAAATATTGATACACTAGTTTTAAAATCATGTAAATAGTCTCCTGCGTTGAAAAAAAAAAATGTATTAGCATGGTAGGCAAGGTTCTTTGGGTAAATCTGATGTCTTTTATTAGACCAACTCAAACAGCTGGAAAAATCCTTCTTAGGAAGCTTTTGGGCACAAACACCCTTCGTCAGGCTAAGGAAGCATTTGCAGATGGTCTGTGCTCTTCCTGGATGGAGTGGTAAAGCAGCCAGAGGCCAGCACCTATGCAAGAAAGCCACGCAGTGGAAATGTAAACTGAGGTGGTCAGTAAATGAGAGAGGTGCGCGGAAAGGAGGAGCGAATGTAGCTGTAGCCAAAGGATGAGAGAGAGATGGGTAAGGGGTGGGGAGGGAATGGGAATAGCTGGTAAAAAAAAAAAAGTGGAGGGTTTAAGAATGAAGGGAATGAGAATAGCTGGTAAAAAGTGGAGGGTTTATGTGGGGACTCTGACTCACCAGGTAAACCCTCCACTTTTCACCAGCTATTCTCATTCCCTTCCCCACACCCTCCTGTCTGCCATCCTTTGGCTATAGCTAGGTTCATTCCCCCTTCCCCCTCATCTGTCTCTCACCTACTGACCACCCACCTCAGTTTACATTTTCACCAACTGGCTTTCTGGCATAGGTGCTCACCTCTGGCTGCTTTGCCACGCCATCCAGGAAGAGCACAGACCAACTGCAGACATTTCCTCAGCCTGACAAAGCGTATTTGTGCCCAAAAGCTTGCTAAGAAGTATTTTTCCAACTATTTGAGTTAGTCTAATAAAAGATACTGGAGTATCGAAGAACCTTGTCCTTAGACCAACACGGCTACAACCTACACCCCTATCAGCATGGTACAAGTTACATTTGTGATTTAAGAACTGCAATGAAGCAGTCCTGACAACCGATTATACTGAAAAATACCATCTGTCCAATAAACATAGGAACCTAAAAGTACAACCCAGTCAGATGATGAATAGTCAATAAAAAAAAAATCACCCTTTAAAGCTTTTGAATAGCCACACTGAACAAATTTGAGTCTTAAATTTGTAATGACAATATACAATGTTACTTTGGTAAATACTTTACATTACCTTTGGAACAATAAAGCCAATTAATTAGAATCAGATGAGGAGCTACTAATTAATTCACATACTGTGCATGACAGACCTGAATCTAGAGCGGTGGCAAAACCAGCTTTGTCCTCACTTCACTGTGTGATGCTCCTCTAACAGTGGATTTTTCCAAATGGAAAATCCTGCATAATAAAGCATGCAATCATAGTCAATTTAGATGTGCAAGTGGTGCCACTGGAAAAATGCTTCTGCAGAGGAATACCACACTAGCCATGTACTTTTGCAACCAGAAGCCTGCCATTAAAATGAAGAAAAAATGAGTATGTATACGCCCAGAGTTGTAAAATGTGCTACTATAATATTGTAGTAACTTGGCTTTGTGATCCTGAATAGTAGTCAGAAGTGAGGCATTATCTTAAAGAGTAGGCACATCAAGGTGAAATATGCTCCTATTGAGCGTGCAAATACTAGGTGTTTTAATATCCTCAAGCTAATTTCTGTCTTGATAGTTTCTGAAACTTTTGTGAACAGAAATTGAGAAATTTCTGATTCCTCCCTGTAGCCCACCCACTAGGATCCAAGCAGCTGAAGCCAGAGGAAACTGTCCAAATGCTCATTCACAGATGACAGACAGCTCATCTCTCTCTTGCTTCACTTCCTCTTTTAGCACCCCAGGCTTTCTGGGTAAGAAGAGTCAGCAGCACAAGCTTTTCAGGGATAGCCATGCTACAAAATACAGTAAGCAGCACAAGCCAATTGAACATTATCCATTTTAAGATCTAAACAGGGTTTACTTAAGTTAAGCATGTTATTTATTATGGCTTGCTAATGACAGCAATCAATACAGTTTGCTATCAGTATATATGCATCCATTTAAAAGATGAAGATTGAAGGTCAAGTATAAACAACTGCTTGCTACTTTTTACTGTGTTGTGCTTGAACCTTTATTTTAGCAACCATTCATAACTGAAATAAAACTGTATTTTGTTCATTAATAAACCTGGATCTTCTAGAATTTATCACGTAACACTGACATTTTGACCAAATATTTTAGGTAATACTTAAGAGTAAAAATTAAAAAATAAAAATTAGGGCCCTGTTTTGGTTTGTTTGGTTTTATGATGTAACTACAGCATTATATCACATGATTTGAATCAGTGCACTTTTTAAAATCTATTGCAAAATTTAAGTTAACAGATGTTCCCTAGAAAACAAAGGCTGGTTGCTTAATAAAAGCTAGGGAGCCTTTACAGAAAAACCTCAATACAATAATTATAATGTAAATATTATCAAAACTATTCTGAATATTTTAAATTTTTTATTTTAAAAGGAATGGATGACAATCTACAATACAAGCTTTGAGTGTAAAATCTCTTATGTGGGTATTTGCTCTAAAATTAATATTTAGACTTTAAGCATTTAAATTAGATCCTTAATGGAAAAGGATGACAGTTCAGAAGATAAGTTTTGGTTACTTTCAATTAAGCTTGAAGATTTTATTGCGACTGAATCACTTGTTTGGTTTATTTTTTAATCTTTAAAAATAAATCCTTCCATTGCCCCCACTCCACGAAAAAGAAAAAAAACCCGCAAAAAATTTCACTTACATTACCAAAGTTTGCAAAATTGTTGGCGTCTGTCTCTTTACTGATATTGGTGGGAGCAAATGGGTCACAAAACAAATCTGCTTCTTGCTCTTTGGAAGTCTCACAGCCAGGGAAAGGCTGAAACGGATCATTCAATTTAAAGGAATCTGAAGAATCCAGCTTATTGATAGGTCTTTTCCCTGGATTAAAATAATTGATATCAACTCAAATGACACAGATGACTGACATTACTGTGTGGTACTGCCTTTAAAAAAATCCATAACACAACAGCTATTTGGACTGCATCCTGGCATAAAGGGGCAGAGTCCTGCTGACTTCAGTGGTGTGGAGGCTCTCTGACTAACAGGCCCCTCATTTCCTATTTCTTCCATATTTAATTATGCATTACATTACAGAGTAAAGGACTTAAGCATGTGTATTAAATGTCATGGTCTCTTAAAGACCATAATTCCAGCACAATATTTTCTTTGTTCTCCAGGTATCTATGCAACTGTAATAAGATAAGTTATTAAATATTGTATTTAGTCATTTATGAACTGAGCTAGTTACCTGCATAGCAAAGTAAAAAACAACCCCAAACCTAAAAAAAAAAACCAAACAACAACAAACCCTTAGAAAGAAAAACAAACTTTTTACTAATGCTTTGAAGATCTCTGGTGAACTTCTAACTTTGCTGCCATTTGTGGCTTCTCTGGTTTTCAGGGAAGATGAAGTAACCTAACAACAGGTGTTCACCAACTCTGCACCAACCCCGTCTACATGAGAGTAGATAGCTATTTATCCATCAAGAATTGAGATCCGCACTCTTCTATCTTCAGCTTACTCAAAGTCAGCTTTCAATACTTTGTGGAGGACATGATCCCCGTTCTTCCAAAACAGAGTCTGTTTAATATTCTTCCCACCTCTCAATTTCTTTTTCTGCATATGTAATCATTCAAGGTAGTTTCAAAAGTGAGGCTTCCAGCATCTTCAATTGCTTCCGCTGGAAAATCTCTTTACTTCAAAATACTTTTTGATGTTTACAATAGCTAATTGTTCCACTTCAAATTTATTTTGGCCTCATTTAGTCTATTTCCATAAGTCCCTAGGAGACTCCAACTTAGCAACATTTTTTCTCTCTTTTATGTATATTCATTGGAAAATATAAAATAATTTTTATTACCTGAGATATTTAGACTATAACCCCACAGATAATGTGTGCTGGTACAAAAACTACTACTGCAAGCCTTTCGTTTTCTAAAATTAACAGAACAACACAGCCTCTAATTTTCTTCATGCCTGCGTGAGATAAATGAATTCTTGAAAGACCCTTGAGTACAGAACATCCTTCATTGTGATGCAGTCCAAAAAGCAAAAAAATTCCTTTTCTGAAATGTTCCGAACCTCAGAGAGCTTCTCTGGCAGGGATGCAGCATCAGATTCACAGGCATGAAAACTGGCCTATTACTCCCTTTGCAGTTCATTAAGGAATTTTGACTCTGAAGTCCTGAACACCTGCTACAACAACTGCCTTATTCAGGACCAATCTCTTTAAAAAAAGATACAAGTACACAGTAAGAAAAAAGCAGATATATTTAAGCTTATACATTACTACAATGTCACATGCATTTGAAAGATAAGACAAACGCCACTATATACAACTGAAAGAACAGCTTTAAATTAGGGCTGTCAAATGATTAAAAAATTTGATTGCAATTAGTTGCACGATTAAAAAAATGAGTCGCAATTAATCACTATGTTAATTGCACAACTAGAAACTGAAAATTATGTGTAGAAAAACCTCAAAGGTATGCAAAATTATGCAGGTACTTTGTATTGTTGGGGTGTGGGTGTGGGGGGAAAATTTGTGAAGGTGTTGGGGGTTCTGTGGGTCAGGAGTGAGGGGCAGCAGCAGGGCTGGGGGTGTCTGTGGCTTGGGAGTGACGGGTAAACAGACAGACAGACACACATGCACACATACACGCACGCATGCACAAAGACACTGCCCAGCAGGTAACTGTGTAGGGAGCAAAGGGACAGGGGGAACAGATCAAGGTCCCCATGGTGAGGGAGGGAGTGGGGCAGGCAGGGGCTGTGGTGGGTCGTGGGATGGAGCTGCTGGCGCATTGTCCAGGGACATGGGTCAGGGGCTGCTCCCACTGTGTGCACCCCAGGGGAGGAATGCAGGACACGTACCTCCTGGATTTGTGCGTGGGGCAGTGATGGCCTGCCGCTGTGCACTGGACTCTGTGCCCAGCTGCCATTACCCCAGGAGCCATGCAACATCATTTTGTGCCTCCTGCTGCCAAGCAGGAAGGGGATGCGGTACAGCCAGTGCATGGCTCCTGGGGCAAAGATAGCAGGGCACAAGGCCCCAGCCTGCAGCGGCAGGCCACCACCACCCCATGCACAAGTCTGGGGGGCTCATGCCTCTCCTGGGGTGCGCATAGCAGCAGGAGCAGCCCTTCCCCTCCCCCCCATGCCCAGGGAGAAGCCGCCCGCAGCTCCATCCCATTACCTACCCCGGGGCCCCATTCACCCCAGCCCCTGGCCTCTGCCCTCCTCCCTTCTTCACCATGGAAGCCTTGATCTGCCCACACCCCTTCCCTCCCCCATGCCTCTTCCCCTTCACAGACTTGCCTGCTGGGTGCTGCTCCACACGCTGCTGGGCTGTGTTCCTGGCCGCCTGCAGGCTGTGGCTGCTCGGCTGTGTCTGTGCGCGCCCCTCCCCGCTCCCCTGCCGCAGCCACCCAGAGCCCATGCCTGGGCTGCCCTGCAGTCCTCTGCACTGCCACCACTGCCCCACAGGGCAGCCCAGAAGCAGCCATGATGGCAGCAGAGCAGAGCCCAAGTGAGGGCTCCAAAACTATGCGCATGATTAGTGTGTTAAAAAAGCGCAAACAATAATTAACATGTTAGCCATATACATTAACCACAATTAATTGACAGTCCTACTTTAAACACTAATTAGATAAAAAATATGACAACTTGAACGAACTGGCTTTTTATGCATTTAATAATTGAATAAAGTTGTTCACCACATATATTTCTTTTAATACTGTGAAATTTAACAAGCAATCCCATTATTTTTTTAATTATTTATTAGTTATAAGACACTGGAACATGAATGTTATCTTCATTCATCAAGCTCTTTTCTGGAGGTAAGCAGGGTTCAGTGGATACAGCACAGGACTGGGAGTCAGGAAACTTGGGCCTATTACTAACTTCCACTGACTATACTACAAGACCTTGGAGGAGTCACCTGGATGGAAAGAAGTCAAGGTTTTCCATTTGAGAAATGAGAATCATGACACTTTGACTTGTAAAATTCACTTTGAGTTCTATGAATACAAGCACTAAGATTTCTTCAAGTAAGAGAAGGTATTGGAAATTAGGGGTTTCCAACAGCACTTGGACACAAAATTCAAGTTCTCTCTATCTTTTCCTTAAGAGTTGCAGCAAAGCATAGCAAGCACCACTGAACAGAGCTCTCTGTAGAAAGTTTCCCCATGTAGAAATTTCAAGTTACTACATTTTCTCATCTTTTCCAGTTCCTTGCTCCCTCTAAGCATACCACTGATTAACACAATGCCCCCTTTCCCTTTTGAATCGTTCTGCTCTTCCACATATTTAGGTTATCAATCCTATTGCAGAGAGAGATATACCATGTTAGTCTGGAGTTAGGCAGAAAGAAAGGTAAGGCAGCATCTAAGGTCATCTTCACATATACTCTGGGGTGAGGGGTACTTTAATTAGAGCAGCTTTCTGAAACCTCTTTGATTGAAGAGCCCTCAGTGTCTTGTGCATGCAGTGTCCCACGTTTCAAAATGGTGGTAGGGGCACTTTAACTAAAGCTCGGTCAATGAGCCATTTTGAAGAGCAGGGATGCTGAATACATGTGAAGCCAAGGCTCCTGGTGTGCTAATTAGCATGCTCCAGCAGACTTGATTCATCGAGTCTGCTCCAACATGTGCTACTTAACACACGTTGGAGCAGGCATCAGGCATGTGTATAGCTGCCCTTACGAACTAACTTGTTCACAACGGTATGAACTTTCATAGGCTACAGCTTACTTCGACAGATGCTACAACTGGACTGGCAGAGAACAGGAGTATTATATTTTAAAGCAACTCCTGATAATGTCTCTGCTCCTACTTTATAGCCCCACTCCATTTCTTTAAGTGACTGTTTTAGATTTGCATATGGAGCTATATACAAGCCATTGTTTGATCTGTTATTTAGCTCAACCTGCATCTGCTTCTTTTTCCAGACTGGAGGAAGAGCACTTTATATCTGAAAACTGGTTTGAAATCTCTCCCAACTATATAGTTGATTCAATAAAAGATATCACTAAAAAATCCTTGATGCTCATATATTCCCTGGACCATCATGGGTACAACAATACCCCAACCCCAATAAAATCCACAGGGAATTTAACTTTACTGTACCAGTCAGAAGAAAAGGAGCCATTAAACTGCTATCACTATAGAAGTGAGTATGACAATCTTTAATGAAACTTCAAACATCAGCTCCTACCTGGTGGTGGGGGACAGGGTCTTGTAGGAGTGCCAGTCTTGGGTGGTAAAGCAGGAGGAATATCCTCATTTTTGGCTGGTGGTTCCTCAAATAAGTTTTTAGTTATGACTACATTGTTGACAGACCCTGATGTGGAAGAACTAAAGGGAGCTTCATTGTTGGCCTTCAAAGAAAAACAAACAAACCACAGCATTAGTGTTACTCTACTAGTTCCACCTTTTTTCTTCTATAAAGATCCATACCTTGATTCGAAAAACACAGTGAAAATTGGAGAAAAATCAGAGATTGTTTATCGTGTCACTGTTGTGCATAATACAAAGTTACATATAGTTTCATAGTTTCTAGGGTCGGAAGGGACCTGAGAAGATCATCTAGTCCAACCCCCTGACATGGCAGGAAAGAGTACTGGGGTCAAATGACCCCAGCAAGGTGTTCATCTAACCTCCTCTTAAAAACCCCCAGGGTAGGAGCCTGCACCACCTCTCTTGGAAGTTGGTTCCAGACCTTAGCCGCTCTGACCGTGAAATAGCGCCTCCTGATGTCTAACCTAAACCTACCCTCTGCCAGCTTGTGACCGTTATTCCTGGTCACTCCTGGCGGTGTTCGGGGGGAAGAGTGACTCCCCCAATGCCTGCTGATCCCCTCTGACTAGTTTATAACAGGCACTAGATCCCCCCTCAGCCTTCCCTTTTGGAGGCTGAACAGGTTCAGGTCCCGTAGCCTCTCCTCATACGGCCTGCCCTGCTGTCCCCTGATCACGCGA